AAAAATAATCCTTCTTAAACCATTCTAGTTAAATAATATATAGACATACTTAGTTGATGTTAAAAAAAAAAATGTTTGCAGATTTTAAAAAGTTGGAAAATAAAATGCAAATTAGGTTCATATTGTATGTCTGATTTTTTAAAATTTTCTTTATAGCACCAGTATAACTAAGCACTATGGAGTGCAAATGGTGTGAGAGTCCACTTGTGTAGCCTAGTTTTAATTAAAGAGCATATATAGAAAAAACAGAAAATGTTTTGGGCTTTGGAAATGGACATTAGCAAATTAGCAAAGTCTGTATTTTATTTGATATACATATTTTTAACCAGGTGTCTTAAAAAATTGTTGCTTACTTAAAGTTCTATAATTCTGGGATCTTGTTTTTAAAATTACAAACAAAAACATCTAAATACAAGGATATACCGGTTGATGTTCGGACTATGGACTCTTTACTTTTAAATATTTTGCGTGGTTTTACTATTTACTGTGTGTTTAACCCAGCCTTTGGGACACTTTATCTTTCCATTAAGACATATTATCACAGTTGTAACTGTGACCGGGTACCTTCTGTTGATGGATTCTACTAGCACTTGCCAGGGACTCCAAGCACTCCAACCGACACCATCAGCACTGCAGACCCCACTTCCAGCAATGCAGCTGCGCTGGGGTCTCACTGTCTTTCACCAACCCTGGATCCAAGGCCAGGATCCAGCTTCCAGTGGGCAGGCCTCTCTTCTCCCAGAGAGTGTAGCAGGAACAAGAACAGCTCTTACAAGAGCCTACCCTGGGGAGTATAGTGTGAATATAGCAATCCCCAGAGTGTAGTTCTCCAATTTCCCAAACATGAGCCAAAACTTCATGAAGGTACAAGATGATCTGTTTAATGGAAGCAAGCACTCATAATTTATACAATTCCTCAGGCCAGAGGCACACCCCCTGGACCTGATGGTACACAAACCAATCAAAACAATACAACAATGTCTGACACTCCCATTCATTACAGCAAAATCCTCCCCTCTGCCTGTGATATAATTACTGAACACAATGGGCTAACATAATTATCACAGGCAGGAAAATATACAGTTTTACACAATATTCATAACTTTAAAAGTATACATCACATTCACATACAACTTGCATATTCAGAATCAGCATACTCCAAATACAAACATATGTCAAAACTATACAAATTGGTCCAGTGGTTCAAAAAATAGATTGATGTCCTATTTGACAGACTGCAAGCATGGCTTGTGCATTTGGGAGATTCCATTTTATGCTATCATAAGCAAATAAAGTTTTGTTCCTGTATTACCTGATTTGGCTTTTAAGCCAAAATACAAGGGAATTGTTACAGTGATCAACCAAACCTGCTTTTTCCAGCATCGTGGTCTCCAAGAATATTTCATAAGGCGCTTATAGTCTGAGCCACTATTTAAGGCTCAGTACCACGTGAGTGGGCAATTTTATATCTGTTTTTACATTTGTTTATTTTATACAGGCTATACTATGTTCTTTATGTTTTATTTTTAGGACATTCCATACATATGGTAATATTGCCTGTTTTTTACATTTGTTTTATACTGGGTGTATAGAGTTTGCTCTCACTATACTATTTATTTCATTTTATTATATATTTCTTGTGTGATTTAGAGTGATTCACACTTGGTGATTTGAGCACTTTTATCAATTTTCTCCCTTTCCTAATATTGTGTTTTATAAAAATCCTCCCCTCTGCCTGTGATATAATTACTGAACACAATGGGCTAACATAATTATCACAGGCAGGAAAATATACAGTTTTACACAATATTCATAACTTTAAAAGTATACATCGCATTCACATACAACTTGCATATTCAGAATCAGCATACTCCAAATACAAACATATGTCAAAACGATACAAATTGGTCCAGTGGTTCAAAAAATAGATTGACGTCCTATTTGACAGACTGCAAGCATGGCTTGGGTGTGGTAAGCCAATTACCTCCAGCATACAGAAAACATCTCTATTCACAACAGCAGAAATACACAAAAATACATAATTCCTATCATACTGAACAGAACCCCGAGATTCAACCTATTCCCAGATAGCTTGGATCTGAGCGCCCAATATAGGTGAACAGCGCTTAGATCCCACAAACAGTCAAATCGACATGGGGTTAAAGTTTAGCACGGGCTGATGAGAGGTTGAGGAGGGACAAAGCAGCTAGTTTAAACTGGTCTGGCTGTGTCCCTGTGACAACCCCCTGCTGGAGAACAATGGACAGGAAATGGGGGAGGGGAAGAGAAACCTTCCCATGGATTCAAAAGGCAGAAAAAGTGTCCCAAAATCCAAGAAGCTTTTTAAAGGGCCATACAACCCAGGGCCATAGTCATGAGGCAGAATGCTGGCAATCAGGCTCCTCCAACAGTCAGGGGAAAAGGGCAGTTTGGCACATAATTCAGTGACAAAAGGCAGTTTGTCACAACAGTATTAGTTTTTTTTATTTAATATAAAAAATAATTGTTTGGCTTTGGTAATTAACAATGTTGGCCTATCTTCAAATATTCAGAGAGTGCTTGGAAAATAGTGACCATAATATGTTATCAATTGAGATCTATTAAAAAAATGGACTTGGCAAAAACACTTAATGCTAAATGCTGATTTCAATAGGATAATGGCATCTTTACAACTTTTTGCTGGAGCTATTCACTGCCTAAAGTACAGTAGATAAATTATACAGTGGATACATTCTACAAAAGGTACATTTCTCAATATCATACCATTGGAAAACAAATATAAAAGAAGCAAATTAAAACCAATGTGACTTAGTAAAATGGTCAGTTAAATAATAAATAAGGAAAGGGCATTCAAAACATTTACATTAGACAGTTTGATAGCATCCTATATATAAGCATGCCAACACGGCTTGCAAAATGTCAGTTAGATGGACTAAACTAGAAAATGAAAAAGTTACATAGTTACATAGCTGAAAAGAGACTTGCGTCCATCAAGTTCAGCCTTCCTCACATTTGTTTTTTGCTGTGATCCAAAAGAAGGCAAAAAAAAAAAAAACAGTTTGAAGCACAATTTTGCAACAAGCTAGGAAAAGAATTCCTTCTTGACCCCAGAATGGCAGTCAGATTTATCCTTGGATCAAGCAGTTATTACCCTACATTGAAAGATTATATCCTTGAATATTCTGTTTTTGCAAGTATGCATCTAGTAGCTGTTTGAACATCTGTATGGACTCTAATAAAACCACTTCTTCAGGCAGAGAATTCCACATCCTGATTGTCCTTACAGTTCTTAATTGTTCTTAACCTTTCTTCATAGCTGATACGTTCCATTCTATTTATTAATTTTGTAGCTCATAGCCAAAGCGAGAAAAAACAAACCCAAAACTTTTTTTTTACATTAATGCAAAGAGTTTAAGAGTGACATTGTTGGTCCATTGAAATCCGAGATCAGTGTGTTAATCAAAGAGGATTATGAAAAGGCAGAATTTTTTAATATTATTTTCTTCAGTAGATAGCAATTAAGAATTCCTATCTGTAGATTTGCAAATCATTGTTACAAAAGACTTACAGCAAACTGATGATTTATTAACATGGGAAAATGTGCTACAGGAATTAAATAAAATTGATGTAAATAAAGCTACAGTGCCAGATGGTATTCACCAAATACTTAGGGAGCCTAGTGTTGAAATCTTTTAGGATACTTTTCTTTCAGGAACCAGATATGAATGTTTAGAAATTACAGACATGTAAGTTTAAGATCTCTGGTGGAATTTTTTTTGAAGGGATGTTTAGGGATAATATTTAAGAATTCATTTTGAACAACAATATTATTAGTAGGAATCAATATAGTTTTATGAAAAACAGGTCATGCCAAACTAACAAGTTGCTCTATGAAGAAGTATTATAAATATAGATGATTCTGGACAAACACCTATGTATCACTTCAGTGTCGTGAGGGACACTTTCTATCTTTCCACTATGTTGCTTGAGATCACTGACTATGAAACACTTGCTCTAGATATTTGAAATATATTAGAGCACCTGTTTTATACCAAAGTTAACTTATAAAGTACACCTTGGCAAAACACACAAAATGCATGAGACACACAAGATTAGCCAAATACATATTATATAAAATGGAAGCTAGTGGTTTCTAATATAGTATATCAGAATGCCGTAAGGTTCTGTCCTTGATTCACATTTCTTTATTCTAAATGATCTTTAGATAGTCATGTGTCAGTGTTTGTGCAGGTGGCAAAAAATAAATAAAATAATACAGTTTAAACATGATTTAACTTCTCCAATGAAGGAATTATATAAATCGGGGGACTAGATATTCAAGAGGTAGATGAGATTCAGATAAAAGGAAAGCCATGAGATTTGGAATAAGGAGTCCACAAGCAAATGATACATTAAATGGGGTTGAGCTAGGGATAACATTAAATGTAAAGGACTTGGAAACATATAGATTAAAAACTAGTTAATGTACAATGCCAGTCTACCTTTGCAAAGGCTAGTAAGGTGCTGTCATATATAAACATTGTTTGGCTAATTATAAATCAATAGTGAGACAACACCTTGAATATCCAGTGCAATTGTGAGCACCAGTTTAAAATAAATATATTGCACAACTAGAAAAAGTGCAGAGGTGAGCTATAAAATTAATAAAGGGAATGGAAAACAGTTAAAAAAAATAAAACAAATGCATTGGGGGCAGGGCCTGACTGTCATGGTGGAAGGATGCATCTCGAGCAAGCTCCCAACTATTCTACTTAATAAAGCATACTACACCCTCACCAAGCTCAATTTGGGACTAATTAAATAAAATCTTGGCACCTAGACCTAGCTGCTACACCAAACAGCAGTCGGTGATCCTGGAACGCAAAATTTACCATGACACTCCCAACATGTCGGGAAACCGCATGTTCCCTCACACCCAGCAAAGACCACCCTGATATCCTAACCAGGCTCTAACTTTTTGGCTGAAGTTGGAACTCAAGATGCGCATACAGACCCCACTACCATTGGAAGTCCACTCACCTCGACTGCTGCCTACCAGAAGCCCATCAGGAGTCCTCAGTTCTGGCTGTGAAGCGGATGCCAAAATAGCAGCGAGCATATGGCACCATCCACCAAGGCACAAGGCAGTACAAAAGTTAGGACAGACGCAGGCTATGACTGGGTCTGGCGAGGAGTCGTAGATGCTGGGTGGAACACTGTTTCTGCTGTATGTGGTGAGCTGCTGGCTTCTATTTAGGCTTGGAGGCCTGAATAATATCCCCCCTACACAGGACTGTACTTTGCCCATAACAGGCATAGGTTGATCTGGGCCTAGGACTGTGCTGTCCAGAGATCATAGTTACTCACTTTTTTCATGATGCACAAATGTTGTAGGGGAACTGCTGGGTTTATTGCAGCCATTTGATTATGCAAAATTTGGGGCACGCTATCCGTGTGTTATTGTGTCTCTGTCTCAATGTTTGGCCTTCCCTGCTGTTTTTTCCTCTTCTTATTTCTCTTACAGGGGGGCCGCCTCAGGGTATTATCTTTGCAACCTGCTGCCCTTCTCAAGTCTAGCTTGAAATATAAATCGTCTAACCTCCATTATCAGTAATGACATGTAAGCCAAGCCTGTTAATGTTTTTTTTTTTCAAAATATGAGGTAAAGCCATTGATTGTAATTCTGCTATATACAACTTTTTTTTGACACTTCACATGCCATGTAATTCCAACATGTTTGTCTCAAAACATTTAAATAAAATAAACCCTGCATTTGTTTTCTTTAGGAAATAAAAGTGCCACAGGGGGATATGATAGCACTATACAAATAAATACAGAGTCCGTGCAAACCCTTAGGTGTTAACCTGTTCATTGGCAGGAATATACAACTGACTAGAGATCATTGAAACTGGAAGAATGCCATTTCACTTACAGAAGATTAAATGTTCCTTTACAGTAAGAACAATAAGATGTAGAATTCTCTACACAAATAGGTTGCCTTCAAGTTCTGTAGATGTTTTTTTAAAGACCTAGATAACACAGGATATAATTTACAAAACATCATCCTGCTTTTATGGTATGATGTGCACATGTGCATGACCACCACCACAGGAATGCAGGCCACGGCACCTCCTATGTTTTGCAAATTACCTGAAAAAGAATTGTCTGCAGCATACTAAATATTGATTATGTACAAAGGGAATTAATGTTGCTTTTTTTGCTTCAATGTCTACAAACATTTCAAGTGCACATTAACTTGAATAATTTTTTTACTCCTGTTGAGGAATCGAGAACGGTCAGTGACTTGTCAGGGAACAGACAACTTTAAACCAAAATAGCTGAATTGGGAAAAAGCCATGTTTACTGTTGATCTAATTTACCTTAAACTTGCATAGAAACATAGAATGTGACGGCAGATAAGAACCATTCGGCCCATCTAGTCTGCCCAATTTTCTAAATACTTTCATTAGTCCCTAGCCTTATCTTATAGTTAGGATAGCCTTATGCCTATCCCACGCATGCTTAAACTCCTTTACTATGTTAACCTCTACCACTTCAGCTGGAAGGCTATTCCATGCATCCACTACCCTCTCAGTAAAGTAATACTTCCTTTCTTCTTTTAAATATAGTCTCCTCCTTTACTGTGTTGATTCCCTTTATATATTTAAATGTTTCTATCATATCCCCCCTGTCTCGTCTTTCCTCCAAGCTATACATGTTAAGATCCTTTAACCTTTCCTGGTAAGTTTTATCCCGCAATCCATGAACCAAAAAATTCTTGACTCCAGGATCTTCCGCAACAAGCTTCAATATTTGGTTCATTGGAAAGGCTATGGTGAGGAGGATAGATCGTGGGAACCAGTGGACAATATCCATGCTCCTGATCTTCTTCAGTCTTTCCATGCACAGTACCCTGCTAAACCAGGAAAATAGGGCATCCAGAGGCTGCGCCTGTAGAGTTGGAGGTAATGTGAGGAACTGACTCTGCTGGGTTTCGAACCCTGGTTTACATGATGCTAAACCTCTTCCTTACCAGTACACCAGCCTGCCTTTTTTGCATTAGAAATACATGCAACTTCTCTGATTAGTGAGTATCCCTGATGATTTTAAATAAAGACCAAGCCTTGAATTAGAGTAATGCTTCAAGTGCATTCAGAGGGAGACAGCTTTTAATTTTACTTTATCTTTAATTGTATTATTAAAAGGTTACGCCAACTAAAAAACAGTATTTTCATAAAATACTGGTATTGGTTTGAGTAACTCTTTCTGAGGTTATACACCCCAACACAATTTGTCTTTCTAAAATAAATAAATATCAACACTAAACTCACCCCCATTCCATTGTTAAGTCAAATTCTCCCAGAAGCCTGATTTTCCTTATCTGATGTCACTCCCCCTTGCTTAAGGTGGAGGGAGAGCAGGGAGAACAGAGTGAGGTGAGGACAGGGGTGGCACAATGTGAGGGGGGAGGCATTCTGCCATTGACTGTCTGGCACTGTGCATGCTGGCGTCAGTTGCCAATTTTGCACATAATTTACATTTCACAGCCTGGAAATATTTGATAAGGTAGAAAATAGAAAACAGTCAAGTCACTTAAGGACACAAAAAGGCAAATTTATTGAACCCACTGCCACTCAACGTTTCGACCCGAATGGTCTTTGTCAAGCCGTCAGGTAGAAACACTGTGAGTGGCGGTGGGTTCAATAAATTTGTCTTCTTGTATCCTGGAGTGCCAGGACCGTTTTCTACCTTATAATGTATTTGGTTCCTGGTACTGGGACTGGCCTGGCTGCACCCATATTAGATGGGGATTGACTGCATTTCCACACCCTTGTTTTTTCTCAAACCTGGAAATATTGGCATGGGCTGGCTACTGATGCAGCTAGAGATGTTAGATATGGTAAATTATATTCATACAAGTGAAAACCTATGTACAGTGGATCTTGATATAT